TCTGTGCAGCTTTGCACCTTTCCTGGAACTCACTTGGTAGCCCAGGCTGGCCTCAAACTCACAGAGATCCACCTGGCTCTGCCTCCTGAGTGCTGGGATTAAAGGTATGCGCCACCACTGCCTGGCTAGAAGAGGTTTCTTAAATATATATATATATATATATATATATATATATATATATATATATATATATATATATATAATTTAATTTTACATATCAGCCATGGATTTCCTTGTCCTCCTCCCTCCCCCCCACCTGTCTAGAAGAGGTTTCTTAACTGAACTATTAACAAGACAGAAAGTATGCAAATCATTTCTAAAGTTTGGAGTTTATAGCCAGCTTTGCTATCATTCTGAAAGTTTTCTTGAGAGTTTTAAGTCAAAGCCTAATTCATCTGAGCTTGACTAGGAATAAAATTCCCTCTTCTTAATTTTTTAAAGCTTCTTTTTAAGATTACAATGAGTGCTTTTAATGATGCCCATGTTTCTCTCTTGTATCTTAAGCACAACTCAATCCCATAAGCTTTTTTTCAAACTCAAAGCAATTTCCCAGTGTAAGGACCATTTTCTTCTGTTTTCTAAAAGATTGCAGAGTAGCTTGCTGACAAACAGTATTAGCATTTTAATTATCTCCTTAGAGGCAAGTTATTCACCTGTTCCTAGTTCTCAAGAGGTACGGCTAAGCTTTATAACATTGCTTGGAAAAGAAACTGCATTTTGAGCTAAAAAAAAAAAAACAAAACAAAACAAAAAAAAAACAAAAAAAAACCGGTTTTTGTGCAGTATCACCATTTTGAGCTGAAAAACTACATTTCCTATGCTGCCTTTCTCTATATTGTCATGCTATAGTACTTTATGTACTACATTTCCCATACTGCCTTTCAGGTCCCAGAGAAAACTTCCTTTCACATGGTCTGTATTAGTGCTTTTGCTTTTATCACAGGAGATTTTATTTTCTTCCCTAAACTTGCATTAGGACACCTGCATTACTGTTTGACAGGTGTACCTCTCTAGATTTTTCACATGACACTATTACCAGAGTGGATCACATTTGTCTGCATGCACTCAGAAAAGCATTTGTCTCCCACCTTACCTGGTCAGTGGAAGGAAATAAAAGGACGTGGACTAAAAGCTTTTTCAGAAAAGACTTTTCCCCAACAGAAATGAGTTTTCAGAGAATATTTTTCACAGCTGTGGACTCTGCTTAGCCCCACATACCAGCTCAGGGCTTGCAGTTGTGCGGGTGACTATTGCCATTCCCACTGGTTTTGTTTATAGGGCCAAATTTACCCTGCTTTTTTATGCTAACCGTTTTCTCTGGGTCCTGCACTGCCTCTGCCTTGGCTTCATGCTAGAGGAAGCTGTTTAACAATTTTAAGTGTTGGAATTCCTGGCTACTCCCCCAGCTACATAACTATGCATGCACTGGCAAAATGATTAGTCATTCCAGGGCTCTACATCCTACATAATCTGTGCACTGCTTGGTTACATAATTTGCATGTAGTGTGATCATGCAGTCTATGTGTATGTGTGGTGTAGCTCCATAAGCCCATATGTGCATGTGCAAGGGAATCCATAAAAAGTGAGTCACACACTCCTCCCCCCTTCAATCTTCAGGTCTCCAATTTCTTTCAGCTTTGTTGACTGCAACACACTTCTTTCTCTTAGGCTGGATCTACTACCTGTTAGCAACTTTCCTCAGCAGGTGCCACATGACTCTTACATCTCCAAAATTTTTGGAGTCTCCAAGGAAGTCCAGTCTTCACCTTCATAGCTTCACACAATGGCCTCTCAGGGCCTCCATGCAGGGAAAACCCTGCCACATGCCTGCCCCAGCACTTTCTTTAGTCACAGTGAGAGATTCCATAACACCATTCTTGTATCCTTGACTCTAGAGGTAGAACCATGTGGCCAAAGTTGCCAAATTCTGCTGCTTGCTGGAGTTGGAACATGGCCTCCTCATTCAATTACATTTTCACTAGCTTTCTTTTTTTCACGGTTTCCTTCACTATGTAAGCTTGGCTGTCCTGGAACTTGCTCTGTAGATCAGGCCAACCTTGAACTTAGAGATCCACCTGCCTCTGCCTCCAGAGTGCTAGGATAAAGATGTGTACTACCACACCTGACTCTAAGCTTTTCTTTAATTTCTTTTCCCAAGTTAGAAGCTTAGCTATATGGGATCTTTCCCTGAAGTAGCCACGCCATTTACTTCATTTAATATCAAGCTTTACATTAATCTGTTTATCTTCTTGAACATAGGACTTAGCTCTATCCCACTTCTTGGTACATTTCTCCTCAAATTGTAAATTTTGTAGTTTTCCTTTCTTTGCTTGTTCCTTTTCACTATAGATCTGTATAATAGTAACCACTTATAACCACACCACAGAGTCTATACTAGGATATTTTGAGATTTCTTCTGCCAATAGAATCAATCCAAAACTCTTCATTTTAGTCTCAGGCAAACTTTTCAGGCAAGGGCAAAAGGCAAGCACATTCTTCACCAAAATATTACAGGAATGGTCTCTAGGCCACATATTAAGACTCTTCTTCTCTGAAACCTCTTGAACTAAGCCTCCACAGTTTAAATTACCCTCAGCATCACTATCTTTCATGCTCTTTCTTGGTTTCTTCTTTAACCCATACATTATTCAGTTGAATTGCTTAATCTCCATGAGTTTGTGTACTTACTAAAGATTTGTATGCTGTCAGTGTTAAGTTTTACTGCATTGTAGTCAGATAGGCTATACAGAGTTGTTTTAATCTTTCTGAATTTGTTAATCTCTTTCATGTTTGAGAATGTAGTCTATTTTAGAGAACCTTCTATATACTGCTCAGTAGAACATATATTCTTTGGTGTTTGGGTGAAATACTTTGTATATATGTTAGGTCCATTTGATGTGTGATATCATTTATTCTGTGTCTCTCTGCTTAATTTTTTTTTTTTTTTTTTGGTTTTTCGAGACAGGGTTTTTCTGTAGTTTTGCACCTTTCCTGGAACTCACCTTGTAGACCAGGCTGGCCTCGAACTCACAGAGATCCTCCTGTCTCTGCCTCCCGAGTGCTGGGATTAAAGGCGTGCGCTACCACCGCCCGGCTTCTCTGCTTAATTTTTTGTTCAGATGACCTGTTGTTGTTTGACAGAAAATGGCCCCCAAAGGGAATACTGTTAGGAGGTGTGGCCTTGTTGGAGTAGGTGTGGCCTTTTTGGTGGAAGTGTGTCACTGTGGAGGCAGGCATTGAGGTCTCATATATACTCAAGACATGCTCAATGAGACAGAACACTTCCTGTTGCCTGCTTGTCAAGATGTAGAATCCTCCAGCACCATGTCTGCCTGCATACTGCCATGTCTCACTATGATGATAATGGACTGAACCTCTAAACTATAAGCCACCCAATTAAATGTTTTCCTTTATAAGAGTTGCCATAGTCCAGAGAGAGCTGACCTGAGCTAGTGGGAGCTCAGGGATTCTGGACCAACAGCTAAGGAGCATGCATGAAACCAACCTAGGCTCTCTACAGTTGAGTGACAGTTGTGTAGCTTGGTCTGCTTGTGGGGCCCTGAACAATAGGATCAGGTCCTGTCCCTGGCAAATGAGATGGCTTTTGGAACCTATTCCCTATGCCTTGCCCAACCCTGGTGCAGGGCCAGGAGCTTGATCCTGCCTCAACTTGATGTGCCATACTTTGTTGACTCCCATGGGTGGCCTGCCACTTTCTGAACAGAGGAGGAATGGATTGGGGGTGTTGACAGGAGGTGGTGGAGGGAACAAGAATAGAGGAGAAAGGGGAAACTGTGGTTGGCATGTAAAATAAATGAAAAATTTTAATAAAAAAAAGAAGAAAAAGAGTTGTCATGGTCATAGTGTCTCTTCACAATAATATAAACTCTAACTAAGACCTGTCTATCAGAGAAAGTAGGGTATTGAAATCACTAATGGTTTGGTGCTAATCTGTGTCTTCAATTCCAGTAGTGCAATTTTTATGCAATTGAATGTGTTAGGTCCAAAGTGGGCCCACTCCAAACCCCCAAATGACAGTGCCGGTGGCAATGTCATCAGTTGCAGTCTGGACTCAGCTCAGGCTGGATTGTGACAGGTAAACAGAAGGACTGATATTCAAATCAGAATTCCTCAGAAACCTTATAAAGTGGGTTTCTGTTTACCAGGAAAAGCCATTCCTTTATTTGCCTCATGCAGCCTCCTAATCCCAGAAAGGTCATCTACTTCTCTATTAACTCAAACAACTCACCAACAGATCAAAGCCCCACATTAGTTCCCAGACTGTTCCACCTAACCTGACTACCTCCTGCCACAACACAACCCCTTATAACTGGCAAGATTCTTCCGCCATTTTTGCCATCCTCTCTGACCCCCAAGAGAAAGCTTTAACAATCTGAGTAAACTTTTCTTTTTCACCCATGGAGTGTCCTAGTTCAGTGGTTTCACTGTGCCCTCCCTTACAGGGTGCTCTAGAGTTTGGTGTAGATATGTTTAGCGAGTAATGTCTTCTGGTTGAATTGGTTTTTTTTCTTTTTTTATTAGAATGAGGTGTCTCTCTTTATCTCTTCTAATTAGTTCCATTTGAATCAGTTTTCCCAGGTGTTAGGATAAGAATAAACAATGCTTGCTCTTGGTCCCCTTAGACTGCAGTGGTTTTTCCATCCTTTCCCTGTAAGATGTGCTTCTTATAGACAACAGAACGATGGATTTTGTGTCTTAATTCATTCAGCTCTCCTGTGCGTTTTGATTAGAGGATTGAGGTTTGTGTGGATTGCAGTCGTTGCATTGTTTATTTTGGGGGTTGTGTTCTCAGAGTTACTTGGTGTTCAGCAATGATAGCTTTTACTTTCTACAGTTTCTTTCTCTGCTCATTCCTCTCTCCAGCCCCAAACACTGCTTCCTGTGTTATCTTTAGGGCTGGTCTGTGGGTTATAAATGTTGAAGCTGTTTACATCATGGAAAGTTTCTTTGTCCTTTAACAATGACAGTTTGTCTGGGTACGTTAGTCTAGGTTGGCTGTTGTGGTCTTCTGGGACCTGGAGTGCATTGCTCTAGGCAATTCTGGCTTTCAAAGTTTCCACTGAGAAATCAACTTATTCTGGTAGGTTTTTTCTTTATGTGTGACTTGTGTTTTTTCTAGTGCAGCTTTCCATACTCTTTTTGTGTTCTGTTTATTTAGTGTCTTAAAGGTATGCTGAAGGAGGTTTCTCTTCTGATCTTGTAAGGGTATGTCTGTCATTGACCTAGGATTCTTATCCCTCATCCCTTCCTATAAATTCAAAGTTTGGTATTTTCATGGTGTTCCACATTTTCTACATGTGTCTTTCCTGAGAGTTTTTTTTTCATATTATTTTTCTTATTTCTTCTATCCTCTATCTTCAAATCCTAATAGTCTAGCTTTAGCTTGGTTCATTCTACTTATAAGACTTTCCCTTGAGTTTTCTCTTTGGGTTATTGAGTTTTCAATATTGTCTTCATTTCAGCTTAAGTTCTCTTTATTGAATTTGATTTTCAAATCCTGAGTTGTCTTTATCAGTTCATTCATCCTTATGTTTGTGTTTTCATGGGCATCACTCTGGCGTTCTAAGTTCACTGGGTTGTTGCTTTTTGTCTGCTTTAAACTCCTTTAATTCTTTGATGAAGCTTATGATTGTTCTTTTTAAATTACGTGTCCCAGGTTTCAACTAGGTAATTGTCATTGGTGAACACTTCTATAGGACTGGTGAATGGGGGAGGGGGAGCATGCTATTCTGTGACTTTTCATCTTATTTGTGTTTTTGCAAAGAGAACTGGGCATGTATGTGTACTTGTTTTGTTGAGTCATGACTGAACAGTATCTGTCCTCCAGGTCCATCTTAGACCACACATCCTGTGTTCTGGCCTTACCTGGTGAGTTTGACCTCTTATCTCTCTCCTACTTGTGTCTCTGTGTGTCACAACATGGGTGTGTGGGTTCACGCGGGTCCATGGAAAGAAGACTCAGAGGCATCTTAACAATGAATATAGTCTTTCATGGCTGCAGGGGGGTCCATCCTCAAAGGACTGAAGCACTAGCCCTTCACCTAGGGCATTTTTATTTATTTTTTTAAATTTTATTTTATAATTTAATTTAATTTTACATATCAGCCACAAATTCCCTTGTTCTCCCCCCTCCTGCCCCCCCCCCACCTTCCCCCCAGCCCACCCCCTATTCCCATCTCCTCCAGGGCAAAGACTTCCCTGAAGATTGAGTTCAACTTGGTAGATTCAGTCTAGGCAGGTCCAGTCACCTCCTCCCAGGCTGAGCCAAGTGTCCCTGTATAAGCCCCAGGTTCCAAACAGCCAGCTCATGCACTGAGGACAGGTCCCGGTCCCACTGCCTGGATGCCTCCCAAACAGATCAAGCTAATCAACTGTCTCACTTATCCAGAGGGCCTGATCCAGTTGGGGGCTCCTCAGCTACTGGTTCATAGTTCATGTGTTTCCATTCCTTTGGCTATTTGTCCCTGTGCTTTTTCCAACCTTGGTCTCAACAATTCTCGCTCATACAAACCCTCCTCTTTTTCACCAATTGGACTCCTGGAGCTCCACCTGGGGCCTGGCTGTGGATGTCTGCATCCGGTTCCCTCAGTCATTGGATGAGGTTTCTAGCATGACAATTAGGGTGTTTGGCCATCCTATCATCAGAGTAGGTCAGTTCAGGCTGTCTCTCGACCATTACCAGTAGTCAAGTGATTCCACTAAAATCAAGAACGAGGCAAGGCTGTCCACTCTCCCCATACTTATTCAATATAGTACTTGAAGTTCTAGCCAGAGCAATAAGACAACATAAGGAGATTAAGGGGATACAAATTGGAAAGGAAGAAGTCAAGCTTTCCCTATTTGCAGATGACATGATAGTATACTTGAGTGACCCCAAAGAGTCAACCAAGGAACTGATACGGCTTATAAACACCTTCAGCAACATAGCAGGATACAAGATCAACTCAAAAAAATCAGTAGCCCTCCTATATACAATTGACAAACAGGCTGAGAAGGAAATCAGGCATTTTTATTTCTAATCACAGTTTAGCCAGTTAATTTCTGTACCTTCAAAGCAGCCTAAACGGAGCTCCCAGAGATTAAAATGCCCAGTGCAAATTACTTGATTTCTCAGGTACCACCATTTCCGGCTTTCCTGAAGAAAGTTTTGCATAGGCCTTTGATCCTTGGGAGACTCTCTGATCCTTGACTCTCAGACAAGATTCACATAGGGCAGTGAGTGAAACAAAAGGCAAGAGAAAGAAAAGGTGTGGTTAAACAAAAGAAGGATTAGGGCTAGGTGCTACTCTCTGAAACCAGGCCATGAGCTCAGTAGGAATGTACTACAAACCTCTATACACCTCAAGCATCAGGCGGAGCCAGGCCCCACATCCAGTCTGAGAAGCCACACCTGCACCATCCCCTATGTCCCGGTTTTGACCAGGAGAGAACAAGGTCTGAAAGACAGAGGAAGCCAAGCAGAAATAGGATTTATGTCCTTGCCCAAGCCTGAAGGTTGGGTACTGTATGGATAGGACTCCCCAGACTGGGCCAGGACACTGGATATGGAACTTGAACTCTGTCTGAGGGTTTGGGTGGGTAAGTGCAAGTAGGTTAAGATGAATTGGGCAGACTTATCTGTCTGGGCTAGAGCACAGGATGTGCTGATCTGGGGTGGGCCTGGAGGATGGTTATGGCATAGGGCATTTTGGGATATGATCTGGTGAACAGAGAGGGCTGGACAGGCACAAAATGTGTGTCTTAACCCAAGACCCAAGGTTAGGGAGGTGTGGGTAGGGCTCCTCAGTTCATCCTGGGACACTGAATGTAGGCCCCAGACTCTGTCTTTCAGCTACCCTTCTTTTATCACCAAGGAATACCTACCTAGGGGTAGTACTGCTCACAATGGGCTTGGTCCTCCATATAATCCCACGGTGGACTGGGCTATTCAGTGTCACCTCCAAGATGCCACAACTGCTCTGTTGCTCAAAATGTGCCCTACTCACCATCTCTGGCTTCCCAAAAGGACAGCCTAAGTCCTCACTATGGCTCTCCACAAAGGACCTCCTGAGAGAGGACAGAACCTAATGACAAATCCCAGGATGGTTGGTCTGACAGAAAGGCCCTAGACTGACTGTGAAACATCATTTGCTATCTTGTATACCAGATTAGATGCTCATCACTAGAGCATCTGCAATTGGTCAGTTATTCAGGTCCTAACATCTGGCCCTGACTAGCAGTAGATGGAACCCATGGGCAAAAAGGACAATCACTATGTTGCAGCTTAGCATCAGTGGCTAATACCTGTAATCCAGCACTTGGGAGAAGTGATCAGCAGGATCAAGAGTTCAAGGCCAGCCTCAGCTACACCAGCTCCTGGCATAATAGACTAAAACATAATAACAAATCCAAACGACAGCTTCTTGACTCTAGGTATTTTAAGACAGAGCATCCCGTGGGAGAGTCTAGTGAAGAACCAAAGCACCTCCCTTTTAAGCAAGCCCCTAATCCCAGTTTGAAACAGGCCTGAGTTTTGAATTCTCAGAATTGCTGATATAAATTCCAGGAACTGCAAGTACAAAGTCAGGATGTCATGAATGGCCATCTGGCCATCTGGTGAAAACTGATTAACCACAAAAGGTCCCAATCTGCAGACAGCTCAAGAAAAAAGGCTTAACAAATGACCAGGGTTAAACTGGACATGAGATAACAGCAGAATTCTGGGAAGTCCCTAGGCACGAGCCAATCAGGATTGTCCCCATACTGACCCCCCCCCCCAACATGGTAACCTTGTGGTTTTTGCCTTTAAAAACTGTGCATCCTCAGGGAGGGGCACCTCCTCTAGCCCCCGCTGCTTCAGTGTGCTCAACAAGGTCCCTGCCTTGGCTTGAACTGTTCCAATAAACCTCGTTTTTGCATTTAGGTGAGTTTGTGTCTCTGGTGGTCTCTTCGGGGTCTTGCAACTTGGGCACAACATTTGGGGGTTTTACTGTGGTTCCCAGAGACCCCCTCACCCCCCCCAGATCCCCCAACCCTGAAGGTTTACACCAATCAAGTGAGTCTGTCTTGCCTATTTGTTGTTTCTGTTTTCTGTTTCTCCTTTCAATTTCTGATTGCTGCCAGCAGCTGTCCATTTCTGAGAGGTTCCACTTTGGTGGATGTGCCATAAAAGCAAACCTGGAGGAGTTGGGAGATGTCCCCTCTCCTCATCTGGGCAGGGATCTCGAGTCTGAGGCCACATTGCCAAGGACCCAGGAGGGTCCCTTCTCTGTATCTGAGAACTCTGGGGATTGGGAGACTCTGTTGACTTGTCCCCATCTCATTCATACGGTCTTTGGCATATCGAGGCTCCCTCTCCTGACATGTCAGCTGCCTGGACCATCTGTCAGCTGCGGAACTTTGTTAAGGGCCCTTGTTCTTCTTTTTTTTCTGACTGTCTTGTTCATCAGTGTGATTTGTTATATTTCTGCTCATCTTTCATTTGCTAATGCACTGCAACGAGTCTGGCAGGCAGCGGCTGCGAAGCCCAGGGGCTACTGTAGGGACCCAGGGCACCACTGAGTGGGTTAGGCAGGCTGTGAGCACCACAGGGCTCAGATGCAGTGGGTTTGGGGCCAGGCCCCTGCTCTCTCAGGAAGCCATGGGGTGGAGGCTTTGCAACACAGCACAGGTGGTGCCAGGTTGGCCCCGAGGCTGCATGGGAACTAGGTATGGCTGGGCGCTAGGGCGAGCTGTGAACACTGTGGGGCCCTGACATGGCCCCCATGTGGAGAGCCATGGGGCATGGAGCAGAACTGGCAGGAGCCAGCAAGGGCCTCAAAGGAGCACAGAGTGTGCCTGAACAAGGGCTGGTGGAGAACTAACTGCTCCTCCAGGGTCACAGCTGTGGAGTGGCCTACAGGTCTGTGGGCCCAGCTGGGGACAGGGAGTCCCTTCCAGTCTGCTACTCTTGTGCACTTGAAAATCTAAGGTTAACAGCAATCTTCTGTCCCCATGGTGCATGCCTTTCCTGTCCTCTTCCTCTCCCAAGCTGATGGGTGGGGCTCCTAAGACCTGCCCTAGGACTAAATCTGACAGAGGTTTAGCTCCAAGAATGGAATGAAATGTCACTGCCTATGGTTGCTAAGCTATTGTGGCTATAAGGCTAACCAACAGTTTCTTGTCTGTGGTACAGTGCTGATGCAAATTTAGAGTTATTCTTATTATGGTATATGCATGTATTTCTGTTCTTGCTTAAAATATTATAGCTTTACAATATATTCTAGACTACTGAGGGAAATCACAAGAAAGACTTTGGTTAGAGTTTCTATGTTTAAAAAGAAAGAAAAAGCAGAAATTGTCTGGAGTAAATGTCTGAAGGATCAAAGGAATGGACTGAAGGTACATGGAAGGTTGTAGAAGGTCAGAGGGGATGTAAACTATGTTTGTTGTGGTTTCTTATCCTGCAAATACTGAATTTAAAAGTTAATTGTGGTTGGTTTTCATTTTAAAAACAGCTGATGATTCTGAAAACTGTTTATGTTAAAGATATATATATATATATATATATATATATATATATATATATGTGTGTGTGTGTGTGTGTGTGTGTGTGTGTGTGTGTGTGTGTGTGTGTGTGTATGGACACATATATGACTTGGGTTTAACTATTTGTATGAGTGTAAGCTATCTTTAACTGTTATGTATATGTATATAAATTGGATCCAACTATACATATGTGTGCAAGTAATTATTGTTTAGAAAGACATGCTTTAAACAGCAACCATGTGGCTTTCCTCCATCTTGTCTGGTGACCTCATGGGCAGCCATGTGGCTGGCAACCATCTTTTACTAAGGTAATAAAGATCTATTCAGGTTAACACCTAAGTACTTATGTGTTTACCAAGTGTTCAACACCAAGATTTTAGAAAATTTAAATGGATGGTTATATATGTTTAACAAATAAGGTATTTGATAAATATTAAAGCTCAACATCAATGCTTTTATACATAGAAATATGCCTTGCTCTGGTATATTTTGTAATTTAAGATTTACCCATATAATAAATAAAAATGGTTTTAAAGACATAAAGGGATCATAGGGAACAGCTAAGATTTGCAAATGTATGGCAGGGCTAGAGTTCCAAAGAAAGTCCAGTTGCAATGGTAGACCTTAGCAGTTTTTAAAATGCCAATGCCAGATGATGATCACTGGAAGCACCAGCCATAATAAAATGGAGCAGGCAGGCTATGTATGTGCTGCCAAGGGTAGGGTCAAAGAAATCATGCAAGTGTTTAAGTAAAAAAACCAAAAAATTATAAATAGATCCCAGATATTGAACTTTGGGATTGTTTGTACTTTGGAGCTTGGTTTTACTTTATACAGATTGTGATGATGCCATGTTTTCTCCCCCTTACAGTAAAAAAGGTACTTTATTGTTGATATTATAGAAGACATTTGGTAAGAACAGTTTTTAAAATATTTAAATTGATAAGGCTATGGGACATTTTCAGTTTATAAAATGCTCTATATTGTTAATATTTGGACTTAAAATAAAAGGTTAAAAATTGGGGTCACAGCCACAAACAGCAAATATTAACCAGAAACTGGGATGTTCTTCTCTTGTGATGCAGCAAGACAATAACCTAAGCATTCTGGCAAAGGGCTTGAAAGAGCTTCTGACTCCATGAGTCTCCACCCTTTGGGGGCTGAAAAACCTTTCTACAGAGGTAGCCTAGGACCAACTGCAAGTCAGATGTTTGTAGAGAGATTAAAACCAGTGACTTGGAGAATGTTTCTCCTTATCCAAGGTACATTCAGGCCTAAGAATGTTATCTAGCCTCCTTGTATTTGCTAAATTTGTTAAACTTAAGCTATTTGGAAAAATTGATTCATATGTGTGTTTTATATTGATTTTTTGTTTTGGTCTCTTTACTGAACCTATATTTGATGCTAGAAGATCTTTAATTTAAAATCATTTTTTACATTTTTACAATAAGGCTACTTATTGTAGACTGTTAAAAAACACAAGTAAATAGTCATAAATGATCAAGTTTTTTATTTGTAGTCAGGCTAAGTACTGATTTAATATTACAGGGATAAGCTTTACCCAGTCTCTTGCATATGTTTTCAGGGTTGAGCTTAAAACAAGTAACTAGAAACAAAGATTGTCTATTCAGATATACCTGGACAGCCCTCATACTTCAGAGATCTGCAGAATATGGCATTTAAATATTGATCTAAAAGCTTATTGTATCAGACAGACTTCCAGATCCTAGCAGTGACTCAAGATTACGTATGAGGCACCACAATGTCTCTGCCTGGATTATGACAATGCTGTCCACAGGGCAAGATGTCCCAATGCAATGCCTGCCACCAGGACCCAGCCCAGACTGTGGACAAGCAGCAGGACACTGGAATTGATTACACTCTTTTGCCTGGACAAAGTAAAATCAGTCCTCTGTGTTCCCATATCAAAGCTCAGGTTGCCACCTCTAAGAATAGAGTTGGAAAATGTAACAAGAACTTCATTTCCCTTATTTGTGAATAAATTCTGTATGTGTATATTATTCATATACTTAAATATTCAGACCTAGGTGGTGTCTCCTTGTGGAATTTACCTTAAATCAGGAGATTTGCATGTGAACTGTTATTACTGCTAGTCCTTGAAAGTGGCCAAGGGAGATATCTGATTCCAGAGAAAGCCTTTCCCGAGGCTGTTCTCCAAATACCTGGAATGTGTATGTCCAGAGTGTGATCAGTCCACACTGTTAGCCTTTCTTAGGGAAAAGTCAATTGGGAAAACTATGAAGGCACACATGATTTTCATAACAGAAGACAGCTGATATATAACAAGCCAAGTAACACCAAAACCTCCTTGGGATTTGGCTTCCTCTGGAGGAATTCCCTGATCCCTCCAGGTAGTGACTTTGCCATAACCAGCTGAGTTCTTATGATATATTCCTGCAGCCTGCAGCACTCTCAGACAAGATCACATAGAGGACATATGAGAAACAGCAGGTAACTGAGAAACAAAAGATGGATAAAGGCTAGCTGCTCCCACACTAGAGCCAGATTAGGTATAGCCCAGGGGGAATTCTCCCACAGCCCGCCTTTCTTTTATACAACTAATTATTTTGGAGGTTATGTAGCCTCACAACATACACAGCTTTTCCACTACCTTTCTGTTTTACACTCTTATGTAGGTAAGCCAAACAACATTTTAAAGCTAATAAGTTTACTATTGTTAGCACAAGAGTAACCCAGGTTAAAATAAGAAATCTATTAACATAATCTGCAGGGTTAAATGAAGCTATCATATCTGCAAGGTTTTCCATAACATCTGCTCCTGTCATATCAGGTGACGTTTTTGTAAAAGTTTCCTTAATTCTTGCTGTAAATAAGTCATAAATCATTTGAGAAGTATTATGGTGACCCATCAAATCCATCTTAGCCTTTCCCCAATCCTACTTGCTTTCATTAAACTTTAAAGGTCTAATACAATAAGATGAAACATTCCAATCACATCTTAATTTCATCTGCTCCTTTAGCATTTCTAATGGGTTTCCTAACAATACAATAGTTTGTCTTAAATCAGCTAACTCACTAACCATCTCACTATTTATCTTATTTTGTTCAGTCCGAAGTTCTTTAGGGTGGCCATGCCACTCCCTGCCAAACTCAGCAGTGTCTTCTTTATGAAGCGCCATTCCCGCTGTTGCTGCTGTAGCTGTCAATGCAATAATTCCGATAATAACTACAATAACCAGTCCAACCATTTGTCGTGTCCTCTTTTAATATTCTTTCAGCAAGCTTCTGTACCAGGATCATCACAGAAGAATCTTGCCATGACCTCAGTAACCTCACCAGTATCCACCCATACAACAACATTTGATACCCACACAAGGCTTGAAGAACAGCAATTCCGGACACTTTGAAGGACTGGAGGAAATTCACACTCAGAGTAAGAGGACTCCAGGATTGGCAGGGTCGTGGGAAACTTCCATCTGAGGAGAAACGGTATATGCAGTTATTAAAATGCCTGTTAAAAGGACACCGAGTGAAAGTGAAGGAAAACAACTCGCAGAGTTTTTAACTACAGAGGTATTAATTAAACGGCATCACCATTATGTTCAGGCAACTACGCAGGTTCAATTAAAACTGATGGTATGGAAACAAGTGTTGAGAGCTTTGAGGAGAGCTCACCAAAGAGATGAGTTTATACCATTAAAAATTTCGTCTTTCTGTAGTATAATTTCAATTGCTCTGGAGCCGTTGCAGAGTGAGGAGTCATGTAAAGCTTCATGTGAAGTAGAACAGCAAAGTAAAAGGGAAGACATTCAGTACTGCTAACTGGAGGGCCATCCTCCAGGCAGCACCAGGATGTACAAAAAAAAAAAAAAAAATCCAGAAATGCGGCCAGGGCTGAACTTTTTCTATCTGAGGAATAAATAAGGAAACCCATGCTTTCTGATGGTAACTTTCTCTTTTACTTCATCTTGAAAAAAATTCTGAATATCTCTCTTGCTCTCTCTCCTGCCTAGCTATTAATCTTTTCTCTGAAAGGATATCGGCACTGGTTTGGTCAGCAGAAGAGTCACGAGCCATGGTTACCAGAGTTAGAATGGGCTTTATTAGAGAGAAGAGGGGATAGGATGGGAGAAGCCAGGTCTGGCAGAGAGGAGACAGAAAGAGAGGCAGAGAAAGAGAGAGAGAGAGAGAGAGAGAGAGAGAGAGAGATGGGGGAACATGGTGCCACCTTATAAAGTCCAGAACACATCTGCATACACAGGCCCATGTGCAGAGATCACCAAGTCACGTCAGTGAGACTACATGACCATGTAACCATGGGGCATGGGTCACACAGGACTATGACCCAGAAATGACTAGGTGGAGATGAGTAAGTGTTCCACTGGGCATGCATGACCATGGGTCATGGTTGGAATTCCTATCATCCCAGACTCTTACCTTTTATAAAAGATGGCAGATGAGTGGGTATGGGGCGTCATTTCTCCCAAAAACTGCTTCCAACTGACTTGGAGGGCGTCGGTTGGCTCTTGGGGGGAGTAGGGAAGGGAGCTTTCGAGGTAGACAGGCATCTTGGGATGGTGTGTTCTCTGTTGTCTGTTGCTCTAGAGCCGTGCATCCCTCTTGGCTTGGCACTCTGGCCGCTTTTGTGTCTGACAGGATGCTGGTGAAACAGGAAAAGCCTAAAGTAGGTCCGACCTGTCCAGATGGATTTAAGCTGGTTTCTGGAGCTTGGGAAAAATTTGAACATATTAAGAAGCAGCCATGAGAAAATTAGTGACCATATGTGGTGTTTAGTGCTCTGCTTGTATTGGTTAGTGTTAATGGAAGAGACAGGGAGATTGGAACATGTTAAGCTTTATCAGAGACAGATTATTTTAAGGCACCTGTTTCCTTTACTATTTTAGCATCCATGAGACTCGTGACCAATTGATAAAAGCATTTCACAGTAATAGATGGTTATATTAAAGTTTGTTTTTGCAGAGCCCAGATTAAAGTCTGTTTTTATAGAGCCCAGACACTTTTGGATCTGGGGGTATAAATACATTTTAGCTGTTACAGTTTCTTACTTGATGATCTCTGGACTCCAGTTCTATGGTGGTCCTGTACCATTAGCAAAACAGTGAGTTAGAACAGGGAACTGGGAAGAGAAAAGCTTGTGGTGCATGAGAACTTATTTCTTTGGAATTAGGGACAAGGCAAAGATCAGAGACCTGTAAGCACAGGCAGGTAGGTCTGGAGTGAGACACATGGAAGGCAGCAATGAAATGAAAGCTCCTATCTTAGCTGGAAAACTTTTTTTTACCTGGCTTCTCCCATCCTATCCCCTCTTCTCTCTAATAAAGCCCATTTTAACTCTGGTAACCATGGCTCATAACTCTTCCACTGACCAAGCCAGTGCCGATATGCTTTCACTCTCATCAGCTCTACACAGAGGAACCCGGTCTCAATAAATAAATAAATAGAAATAAAAATTAAAATAAATTAAAAATTGAGAAAAAAAAGCCCCACTCTCTAGTTGCTTGTGGAGTCCTGACACACCCAGATGATTTGTGCTCATATTTCACACAGAACACACACAAAGTAGTCTAGAAGAGAGACATGTCTAGGGTTTGTGGTGGTCCAGGGCAATTAGGGTTGTTTAGGATTAGCATAACAGATGCAGGTCAACAGTAGGGACTCAGATTGCAAAGCTGAGGTGCTTCCTGTACCCAGACATCCCTGGGAGCAGTGGAATGGGAAGTGCCTGTTTAACTGTGTCAGGTAGGGCACCCGGGAGGTGGGAGGGGACCTAGGAGACTTTTGGGATGGCCCTGTGTGAGGAGGGGTGTCACACCAACTCCAGTGTCATCCGTGTGACATGAACAATTATGTCAATAATAGCGGACAGGAGATACATGTCCCACAGGACTAAGCTCCCTGGAGGTCCCTGGCAGAGTGCTTATGCTTCCTTCTCAAAGAAGATGTACTTCACAGATCATGAGCTCCCTGGGCTATGGGTTCTGTATAACTGCTTTTCTGATAATGTTCTAATTAATCTATGAAGCACAGCCAAAATTAATGAATGCTTGGGTTGTGAGCTATGGAGGAAAGGGGAAGCTGAACATGGATCTTAATTAAATATAGCAGAATGAGCTATTTTGTAAAGACCCCAAGCCGCTAGATAAAGAAAGTATAATAGTTCAGGCACTTCTAGGGAATGAACACTCACCCACTAGGAATCCTTTAGGAATCCCAACTAAAGTGATTTATGGTAGAAAACGTTATCTCCTAAGAGACAGATGGTGGGCCCCTCTGTTGAGGAAGTTCAGCATGGGAAACTTAAAGGCTACAGCAGAACTCTTTCCCCTTACAGGCGTAAAAGTACAAGAGTCCATATTCCAACAGGTAAAAAGGTTTTATATTAAAAAAGATATATGATGAAAACTAAAAATAAAAAAGACGTAGAGAGGGTCTGCAGCATCCAAATTGGCTAAATGGGCCATGGGAACCAAATAAATAAATAAATAAATAAATAAAATGTATTATAAACTAAAAAACGGCTGGGATAAGATAAGGGATACAGCTACAACCGCAAGAAGTCTACACAAGTCTAGGGACTGTACTCTTTAAAAAGCACAGACTGGTCTTTGGGTCATAAAGTTCTTGTGGGTAAAGGGATATGTCTAACACCGATTAATAATTGTATGCTTGCTGTTTTTTAAAGATGATGTAATTGAATTATTGCCAAGCTCTTGTTGTTCCTAGTATGACTTGATAGTTTTCTTTTCTGTATATAAACTACTGATTTGCAGAAGTAAAATTGCAGCAGATTCAAACAACTTCTGAGTGTGTTGTCTGTCTGTCATTTGCTGAATCCTTGCTTTCCTGACTACCCAAGCCCTGGTTCTCCTAAGGTCATGGTACCGCCCCCCCCCCCCCATGGGCCAGTCCATGGTAGAGAGGACTCAGGCAGGGGTTCCCAGGAGTGACCTCACTTCTTTAACAATGACCCAACAATGCAGAACCCTGCAACCAGGCAGCCAGCTGCTTAGAGACAGCCTAGCAGGCTCCTTTGTCCTGATACTCTATATTCTTGTTGTTTTGGGATTACTCGAGTCTCAGACCCTAAGAAAGAGAAAAGAGGAGGCCATGGTGGTACCCGGAGATCCCGGGTTCACTTCTGGTTCCAACGCCTCTGGCCAAACTCAACCCAGGGCAGCCTGGAAACAATCCAAGTGCCACTCACCATGCTTCTGTCACTCTCCTCACAACAATTTCATTGGTGACTCCCACCAACTGTTGTCCCATATATGTGACTTGGGGCAGCTAGGGTGCTCACTTCCCCAGTGAAGCCAACCAGGGTGTGCAGGACTTATAGGGGTTACAGCTTCCGAGGGATGAAGGGAACCCACCCATCAGTCACCATGACATTTTTCATTGGAAAAGATCACATAAGCCTCATTTCTATAGAGGCAAATGTCCAGACATCAGAGAGTCCACATCATAGCTTGGGAGTTAAGCTTCAGCAAGGTGTACGTAGTGTGAAATGGGATGTGTGTGTGTGTGTGCGGGGGTGGGGGGGGTGGGAGGGGCAGGTTGTGCAAGAAGTCTGCTGAGAGATCCTCATCTGGACTGGGCCAGATCAGGCTTCCTGGTGAACATGGAGTCAGAGTGTGCCGCCAGTCCAACAGAGCAGGGGCAGTGGACTGGCTGTGACAAGATAGTACAGGTAATTGAAGATGGTGAAATATTTGTGGAAATTTAGAGATTTACTTCTAGTCCTACAAAGGGCTACATTAGAGGCCAAGGTCTCTAATTTGGGGTTGTTTCCAACACCCTCAGAGAACTGCAGGGCACCAGCATCCCTGAGGAGAGCTGAGGCACAGGCCACACATGCTTAGCTCTTCAGATGTGCAAATCCTGTCAGGGACATGCACAGCCCAGAGCCATGCTGCCTAATGACCACTCCTGCTGGGCTGGTCCCTGAGCTGAAAAGACCAGCAGCCCTCCCCTTTCCCCTCTCCTGGAGTTGGCTGCACTCTCCAGTGCAGGGGTTGGGGCATCAAGGCTTTGCCTTCTCTCCCTCAGGGAAAGGGATCCAGTTCCAGTGGCTCATGCATAAGCTCCTGTATGATGTCACTCGCATGTGCGCAACGTGGCCACTCCTGCTTCCCTGCCAGAAACCTTGAAAGATTTGCCTTTCTTGATTAGGAGGCAGAGGGGATATGTGGGGACTTCTGCTATTAAGGTGACCTGGTGATGCTCTGCTTGGTGTCTTCCCACAGCAGCTACTAACTAAGGGAAAGCAAATATGCTCACTCACCTTCCAGATGGTGAAACATCTAGTGTCATCCAGAATACTTTATAGTGATTGCAAGAGGACCTCAAGTCCTCCAGGGATGGAGGCTTGGTTTAATGCTAGGAGGTTATTCCTAATCTTCATTGTTTGTGGACACTCTTAAAAGTAACCCTGAAGCTGGGCATAGTGGCTCACTCTGTCATCCTAGAACATGGGAGGTTGAAGCAGGAGGATCAGGAGTTTAAGCCCTTGTAATTAGTTCAAGGCCAGCCTGAGCTGCATGAGACTCTCTATACCAATAAAGTGAGTGTGAGTGTAGTTCAGTGCTTAACCATTGTGAAGCCACATCATACCAGCAAACAAACCAGAAAGTGTCCCTGTTTTATATGTATATGAGATCAGGGTTTGCCTCATAGTTCCCCCATCCTCAAAGATCCAAGTTTGGAAAAGTCATCCCCTACTGTGGCCTGACATTTTAAATTGACGATCCCAGGCTGGATGGAGGTTTTTTTCTCTGTCTGAAACAACAGAGAAAGTTTTGACACTATGAGAGAATGCACACGACCTTCAAAAACTGAGAGAGCCCACTTTTAATATGATCTACTTGAATTATACTAAGACTCTATGCCTCTAAGGGTTAAGGCTTTTTTCTCTCTCATATATTTCAGACAGAATCTCACACTGTAGCTCAGGTTGGCTTGGCTTGGAACTCCTATGTAGTTCTGGCTGAAATTGTCCTGCTTCAGCCTCCTGATTGCTGAGATTACAGGCATGGGCAATGTGATTGCTATTCTTGGTTATCAACTTGAGTACACTTGGAATCAACTAAAACCAAAATGGCTTGGCACGCCTGTGAGGGATTTTTTTTTCTTAATAAAAATCATTTGAAGTGGGCAAACCTACTTTTAATCCAGATCTTTGAGGTGGGAAGAACAACCTCTGATCTAGACTACACCTTCTACTGGCATCTCAGAGAAGAACATGGAAGGACACTTGCTCTCTCTGCCTACTTCTTTCGGCAAATACTGAAGACCAGCTGAGACATCTACCCTCATGGATGAACAACATTGGGTTCTTGGACCTTCCACACATAGGCAGCCACTATTGGATAAGCTGGACCACAGTTTGTAAGTTATTCTAATAAAACCCCTTTCTCTATATATATATGGAGAGATTCATTCTATAAGTCCTGGCTCTCTCTATATATATATGGAGAGATTCATTCTATAAGTCCTGTTACTCTAGAGAACCCTGACTAATACAGGCAAACTGGTTTGACTTCAAATTTACTTTCAAGATATGAAGAATGATTAAGATGGGGGTATTTAAATGTACTGCTAATTATTAGGAAATCTCATCACCTCTATAGCAATATGCAGGTGTAGGTTATTGAAATATTAAGGAAAAATTAAAATTTACTTGCTATTTACTAAGTATATCAAATGGAAAGGGAAAGTGACTGGTATCATGGACATAAGGGACTTTGTGGATCATTAAAATAAAAATAGAAAACTCTGGGTGAGAATAAGGATAGTGGTACTTACTAGATATGTTGACACTGCTGGGATCCACATAGAACACACACACGCACACACACACACACACACACACACACACACACACACACACACACAGAGAGAGAGAGAGAGAGAGAGAGAGAGAGAGAGAGAGAGAGAGAGAGAGAGAGAACCCAAAAGTTTTTCTATCACCTTTATTGGGAAGTAGAGTTGTGTGGGTGAGGAGTGCACAGGCTCAAATATGAGGTTGGGTTCTAACAAGCCAGCATAGAGAAGCTGTGCCCTGGATGGGGGAGTATTAGAAAAGTGAGGTGGCTAATAAGGTCCTTGAGTGCGTGTGTGTAGTGAGGACTGTGAAGCAAGATTTAGTCTCTTAGGACAAGCAGTACCACCACAGCTAGGATCCGGAGGCAGGATGGTCAGTCTCTGATGACCGTGTCTAGCTGTTTGGAGAAATATACAATGGGGTACTGCCCCATGCTTTTGCAAAAAAGCTTGTAGTTGGTTTCATGTAGATAGTGACAGAAGGGCTTGTGTTCATCTGGAAATGCAGGTGTAGAGGACAGAGGGAGGAAAGGAGGGAGGGAATAAAAGAGAGAGGACTTAAGTAGCTATCAATTGCAGAGAGCTTTTTGGTTAGGTGTGGGATTTGTGCCCACTCCCCCTTCTCTGTGCTGGGATTTTGTCTGGTTTGAAACTGTACATGTCTTGTGCATGCTGTCATGATCTCTGTCAGTTCATATTTGCATCAGCCCTGTGGTGTCTGGAAGATTCTGTTTCCTTGGTCATCCATTACTTCAGGTCTTACAACTTTCTCACTCCTCTTCCACATAGAACCTGAGCCTTGCAGCGAGGGCTTTGATAAAGACGTCCTATTTAGGGCTGAGTGCTCCAAGTTGCTCACTCTCTGCATGTGGTCCATTTGTGGGTGTCTGTGTTAATTACCATCTAATGCAAGAAGAAGCTTCTCTGAAATGAGCAGCTAAATAATGAATAAATAAATTAAATAAAAAGGTACACCTTAACTCATAGAATGCATTTTAATAATTGGAGGTGATTACTAATGTTCTAACTTTATGTGACCACTAGATCTGTCACACTTTCATAACTATTATTACTGTAAATGATGTGTGTGTAGGTATTCATGTCATGAGATGTAGTGGGTAGCCATTCCATCCTTGATCTGAAAGTTCCCACCCCCATTGAGGCTTCAGTAACTGTCACACCTACAAGGCAGGGCCAAGAGAGGACCCCGAAGACCCGAGATCCGGATGCGCCATCTCTCTTGGTTCCTGGACCCTGGACGCTGGAGGTAGACTGAGCAGAGTTCTCCAGAGAACACCGCCAGACTGTGTTCCGTCTTTTCCAGACCCTGCAACCTACCTATCCCTTCATTTGTAAGTTATGCCACTAAATAAACCTCCCTTTTAACTACGTGGAGTGGCCTTAATAATTTCATCAATATCTGGTGCCTAACATGGTTAACTTCATTATTCATAGAATTGCAGGAAATCATCAGAAAAAGAGAACATCCTATATATTTATAACACATATCAGATCCCATACAGGTCTGCCAGGACCTCTAGCACAAGGTAATGATGAGATTGACCAGTTACTAATAGGTAATGTGCTAGAAGCCTCAGAATATCATAAGAAACACCATGTAAATAGCAAAGGTTTGAAGAAGGATTTCTCCATCACTTGGCAACAAGCTAAGGATATTGTGAAAAAATGTCCTACTTGTTCCTTCTATAACCAAACTCCATTACCTGCAGGGAGCAATCCAAAAGGTATACAAAGAAATGAAATTTGGCAGATGGGTGTGTTTCATTTTGCAGAATTTGGAAGATTAAAGTATGTACATCATACCATTGACACCTATTCAGGATTTCAATGGGCAACTCCTATGAGTTCTGAAAAGGCTGATTCTGTGATTACACACCTATTAGAAATTATGACCATCATGGGAATACCTGTACAAATTAAGACAGACAATGCCCCAGCATATGTCTCCA